GAACTAGGTTACTTATAAATGCTACCACCGAGGATATCCTTCAGATTCTTCAGAATGCTTCATGCACTCTCTGGATAGTCTGACATAACTTGCAATAAGCTGTTGCAATTGAGAGAAATAATAATAGCAATGATTTATATACAACTTTCATGTTCCAAACTAATAAATTCACTTGATCTTCACAACCACCCTTTAATGTAGCCTTATCTCCATTTTAAAATGAGGACACCAAAGCACAGCAGGTTAAGTGAGTGCCCAGAGGAAAGACATATTCATAAAATTCTCTAAAAGAAAGTTACCATGGAGATTAGCTATTTATCAAAATGATTGGTCATCTGCAAAGTTCACATTTACTGAATTATTTTTTTCTTTCACATTTTCTCAAAAGTTAAGCCAAATGTCTTATCTGCTTTATTACTTTTTTCAGAAAGTTAATCTTTTGGAGAAGATCAAAAACTGCCATGCTATCTCTTCTCTTCGAAGAAGTTAATGCATTTTTATAGAGAGACCACATGACATTTCAGTGGATTAAAGTAACATGAAGATGACCCTGAATGTGTTTCCAGCTCACCTCTGACTCATAATGTGACCTCAGGCAGAGAAATCAAATCCCCAGATCCAGAGACAACACAATGAAGTGGAAAGACAATGAATTTTGAAACTGGAAAAGACCTTGAGCTGAATGTTTGCTCCTCCCTTTCCATGGGATTTTGTCAAAGTCACTTTGCCCAGTTAAACCTGTTTTTTTTTTTACCATAAATCAAAATACTAATGCCCACTTTACTTTGGAAAAGAAACATAGTGTCATAGGTGAAAATGTCTGGCAGATGTTAGGATCTCAATAAATATTTCTTTCTTTTCTTAGAATCAGTGACTATTGTATAATCCTATGAGACACCATGGAGAATGTTATTCTGTAGCTTTAATAGCCACCATTAATGCATGGGGAACGGCAGTCATCATCATGATTTAACCATTTTGCAACATTCGTACATATCTAATCTTGAACATGTGAACAAGGCCTCAGTGTATTTTACAATGGCTCTGTTAGTTTTGATTTTGGAAGAACTGTAATAAAGGAATAGTAACTGCTTCCCAAAATACGAGAACCAAGCTACTGTTGTTCATTTTTTCTTAACTTACAATGAGACAAGGTCTTAAAAACTTAAATTGTATAAAGAAATTCAAAGATTATTTTAGAAGCTACAGGAAGCATGCTTGGTAATAAAATAAAAAACAAAACCACATTCAAGGTGGGGGAATCCCAGGGCAAAACACCAGAAAAAATTAGATTAAATTCAGAAAAAAAAGTTTGGACTAAAAACCAGGAAAATAAAGGTTAACAGGGAGGAATATCATAACAGAGAACAATTTCCAAGATGAGCAAGAAATAAAACGTTGAGTCATAGCAGGGCACACTAAAACAAACAAACAAAAAATGCCCTGAAACAGGAAAAATTATAAGCTTTTCATATAGTTTACTGAGTTTTTATTTTTCCAAATACACAAGTTTCTGTGTTGTACACTGCAACTTTCACATGATCTTTGACTGCTTAATACTTGCCAACATTAATTTTACCATTTTGCAATTATTAGTAGATCCAAATATCCACACTACCCCATCTGCAAGATTTCTGACAGTATTTAAGTTTTTCCCATGTTCAGAAAAAGTTTCTTTGTAGATGAGTCATTTTATAGGAAAAAAATATTCTCACTGCCAAATTGTAGGGTTGAAGTATACAAAGTCAATTTACTTTTCTTCCATGATTCATAGTTACCATGCTCCAGGAAAGATATATAGCTTTGAAATGGAAATTGGTAATAAAATCATCAAATGTGCTAGAGTCAAATGTCTAGTGAGCCCAATTCTAATCATACTACAAAATATTCTGCCAATATAAATATACAGTTTTTTAAGTAGTAAGAAGGTTTCCTTTAAATACTCTAAACTTTAAAATGAGAATAAAATCCAAAGAAATTATTTGGAATATCACTCTTATTTTTAAAATGTATGAATGTAATTTAAAGTTTATTCTATTTCATAATTTTCCTCAAAGTTTTCCAAAATTCCAACATATATACCCTTAGGTACACAACCAGGGTAACTAGGTAACCAAAATCAAGTGGTCCACTGTGGAATCTTCTAATCATTGGTGGACTTTATAGCTCTATACAACTAAATTCAAAGAATATTCATGAATCTCTGTCTTTTCATATATATAAATTAGAGGCCCAGTGCACGAAATTTGTGCACGGGGGGGGGGGGGGTCTCTCAGCCCGACCTACACCCTCTCCAATTCGGGAGCCCTCAGGGGATGTGCTACTGACAGCTTGGGCCCACTCCCCGTGGTTCTCTGCTCTCTGCGGGGCCTGCCTGCTCCACACCACCAGGATGGGCAAGCAGGCCCTGCTGGGTGCTGCCTGCGGGCCCCGCTTGCCTGCTTGCAGGTTGCCATGGTGACTGCCCAGCAGGCTCTGCTGGGTGCTGCCTGCAGCCCCGATTGCCTGCTCTGCGGTCTCCATGGCGACCGCCCAGCAGGCCCTGCTGTGTGCTGCCTGAGGGCCCCGATTGCCTGCTCCCCAGTTCACGGCAACTGCCCAGCAGGCCCTGCTGGGTGCTGCCTGCGGGCCCCAATTGCCTGCTCACGGTAGCCACTGCCACTGCCCAGCAAGCCCTGCTGGGTGCTGCCTACGACCCCACTTGCCTGCTGGGCTCACATTGCCGGGGTGACGCCACCAGCATCCTGCCCAGCCTCTTTGGGCACCACCATCTTTGTTGTGGAGTGATGGTTAATTTGCATATTACTCTTTTATTAGATAAGATACAGAAACTAGTTTGCCATCTAACCCAACTAATTATCAAATAGTTGAACTATTTAATTCTCATTACTTGACTAATAGGTCACATGAATGTATATAAAATTACACCTGAGCTAAGTTCTAAGAAAGAACTGTGATGCTATGGGAGATGAAGGGTAGACAGTTAAACCCTAGTCAGTTTGGCTCAGTGGATAGAGCATTGGCCCGAAGAATGAAGGGTC